CTATGCCAAAGACGCTGAGAAGCAGCTCCCGGCCGACTGTGGTGCCTGGTGGCAGCGCAGGGAGAAGATGCCCACGTGGTCCAGGCTTCGGGCTGCATGCTGGTCTACTCATGCGTCATTTCCTTGTCCTTGAAAGTGCCCAGAGACCCCAATACCCCTTAATTAAGGAATATACCTTACATCTTATTAGGTATCCTACTATGATTTAAGGTATATGCCTTCATTAAGGGGTATTGGAGTCTCTGGGTGCTTTAAACAGAATCGGAAAGGATATCGGAAAGGTTGGGCGGCCGCAGCTCGAGGATTCCGTTCTATGTCAGTTTCATACATGCTTCTTCTCTGCAGGTGAACAACACCCCTACTCATCTCTAGCAAATGGAAGCAATTCACTTCGATTCAACCCTGCAGACAGGTACAACAGGTTCTCATCGGCTTCTCTCCGCGTCTTTGGTCCTCGACCGCTGATTCGCGAAGTCTTTATGAACGAGCAGAGTCGAAAAACTGCATCCTGTGCTCGGCGCTGCTCATACGGTATGAAAGCATTTGCAGCCGTAATCCAGAGCTGCACGGAATGCATAGAGGATGGAAGACGGCATGCTCCTGATTATTAGGGGCAGCCCGAAAACGATCCCTGACAGTAAAAAGCCCCCTTGTAACGTAACTCTCAAGTCCTTCCCTAAACCCTAAACCCTAAACTTGGCAACTCATTGTGTCACGCCGACTTCTGCACCCATGAATCCTCGCCTGGCCTGTCCGAGTTGTGAGAGTGTAAACCCTAAACCCTAAACCCTACTCAGGTCCTTCGCTTGGCTGGAGCATGCGAGGCCAGACTCGCAGCTGCTCAAGGCCATTGCAGGGACAGCGCTGAGGCCGGGCCCATGAAAGTGATCTCCAGATGTTATTATTATTATTATTATTACTATTATTATTACTATTATTATTACTATTATTATTATTATTATTATTATTAATATTCATTGTTGTTAATATTCTTCTGTTTTCTTATTATTTGTTGTTGTTAATATTATCATTATTGTTACTGGTGTTATTATTGTTATTTTCTATTCTTCCCCCAGCGGCAGGTCAGTCCCTTCAGCAAGAAGACCGCAGTCACTAAGGGAATTAAGATTCACTGGAGTTGTAAGATCCATTGTTCGTGGTAGTTGGGTGGCAGACATCAAAGCAAGTGCTTGTAGGAATGGTCTTCATGGCCATGCTAGTGCTCCGGTGGATGTTGTGAATGGCATGGATATCAGGGTCAAGACAGCATCACCAAATCCCAGGTAACGCATGTCGTCTCGCATTTGGATTGGCATGTGTACGAGTATAAGCGCGAAAGTACAAACACTTGATGATCATAGCCGCAGCCGCGCCTGAGCAGTTCAGCTACCAGGCAAGTCACATACCAGCCGGCAGGAGACAGCGCGACTGGAGATATTATTATTATTATTATTATTATTAGTCATTGTTGTTAATATTATTATTATTGTTATCGTTACTATTATTAGAATGATAATTTTAGAGAGAATACGAGAGAAACCCAGTGGAGTGCAGGCGCCTCGGGGAGTTCAGCACGCAGCAGCTGGCAAATATGCGGGCTCCTAAGGGCTGCTGAAACATGGCTGCCTCTCGTGGTGCTGTGACGTTTGGGTGCGAGGACCTAGCTTGGCTTCTGATTGAAAGTGCTGTGTGGCATTTGCTGGACTGTTACTTCATCCCGAGATTTCTACAAGCGATCCCGCTCTTCCAAGACCCTAATGACGACGGTTCTTAGGCTGTGGGGTTTCGACCATGCAAACTATGCCGATACCAGCTTCTTCTCCACGATGGCTCAGCGCTCAGAGGGGACAGGGGGAGAAAGCCCGACACCCTCCAATCGACTAGGATCTGTTGCATGAGACTTTCACTTTCACTCTTCCGTCTGTGGCAACGGTGGCTGTCGCACCGGAGCGGGACCAAGTGCCTACCTGCTCCGACATTGCTCGCTGATGTTAAGCGCAACAGAGCTCGGGCCCAACCTCGCCCGGCTTATCCCAGTAGTGGAGCTACAGCATACCACATGAGGCAGCCGCATGGCAGGGAAGCCCATGCTGTCCACTGGCCTTTGCTTGAGGTGCAGTGGTGCAGCTCGAGACCAATGACCTTCTGGCAGAAGGTGCTTCAAACTCTGTGAGAGGTTTTTCCGCATAACAGCATGGGTGTGTGCTGAGTTTTCCATCCTGCCGAAGCTAATGACGTGGTAGTCGTTTCGCACAAATTTTGGAAAGACAGCAAACGCTCAAGCCTCCAGCTGCCTAGTGAGAGTTGTTCCTTCCCCCGCCTTGGGCGCAGCCATGTTCTCGCTGGACTACTTGCGCGTGGCCGTTTCCCTGCTCGTTTTCGTCACGACGCCAGGCCAGGCTTCGTGGAGTATGACGTCTGGGTCTTGCTACGAGTGGACGGACGGCGAGTGCATCTCGTCCCCAGCTCCGGGGGTTAGCAAATACGGCAATCATGAGGCTTGCACCATCCAGGTGCCCTCAGGCAACACGGTGCCGATCAGGGTGGAAGCCTTTGACACAGAGTCTTGCTGTGACTTCCTGACCGTCAACGGCATCCAGTACTCCGGCTCGACCGGTCCGAGCGGCATCGTGCCTCAAGGCGAAATCACTTGGAGCACAGATGGGTCGACAACAGCAGCAGGATGGCGGATATGCCTCCCCAGCCCCCAGCCCCCAGCCCCCAGCCCCCAGCCCCCAGCCCCCAGCCCCCAGCCCCCAGCCCCAGCGGCAACTCCGGCAGCTTCGGCAACTCCGGTGGGCTCTTCGACACATTCAGTGCCGTGACTGGAGCGATTGCGACCGCGGCGCAGTGTGGAGCAGACATCAGAAGCGACTGCTCGTTCCTCTCTGATAATTGCTGGGGCGCCAACTCCGTGGTGCTGGCACAACTTCGGGAACCCAAGTTCCTCTGGACCGCCAATGGCATGACCGCCTGCAACCTACCTGACTCCTGCGACAGCTTGATTGCTCAGGACTGGGACATGGTGTGCTGCTTTCGCGACTCATTCCATGAGTGTATCTCGCCGAGTGCAGCCTTCATCGCTCTGATGTGCCTTGTCATTTTGATTGCGATCGGGTGCTGGGTGGCGTGCTGTTGCTGCTGCTGCTGCGGCTGCTGCTGCTGCGGCCGCTGCTCCTCCTCCACGACTCAGCCGGCGCAGCCAATTCTGTATTCCACGACTCAGCCGGCGCAGCCAATTGTGACAAATGTGTATGCCGCTCCGATGCCACAGCAGCTGGGACAGCGAGCGACAGAGTGAACATGCTCGTCGGACAGCCTGTTGGACGTGCTGACACTTGCTGAAATGGGATACCAGAAGGCCGAACAAAGGGGCACAGTAGAGAAAGGGATAGAAAGGGTGGCATCTGGTCCTCTTCAGGTATCCCTGTGCTGTCCTTGGAAGCAGCGGCCCCCCAGTAACACAGGGGCACTGAGGGCACTCTGCAGAATGGGGGTCCTTCCTCGGAGTGTTTTGAGGCGGAACTGGTTCACCCCCCTAAACCCATGGGGATGGGTTTAGGGTTTATGAGATGTGGTTCCTTAGTATTTTGCACGCTCCTGTTTTCGAGGAAGGCCGCCGCTGCAAGTCCCAGCAGTCTCCTGCACCTGGTACCAGACATCGGTCGAAAGTGGGACTACATGGTTCAGGGTTCAGGGTTTGGGGTTTAGGGTTCCCACCCAACAGCAGGGCAGCATGCCTACGCACTTGGCTCATGTGCGATGTTCTGGTTGAAGCAAGGGGGGCCTGGCGCTCGCAAATGCGAGTGCTCGTAGAGATGTTTGCCAAGAGCGAGTTGTTCAAGACCCGCACGTGGGAGGATGTGCGCGGCAACGAAAAACATGACTCTTGCACACGCCATTCCTGATATGTTGATGTTGGAGCGGTGCAACTTCTCGTGACAGATGCAGACTTGCAGGAGCTCTTAGGTGAGGTGCATCGTCTTTTCTGCTTACACATCACGGCCATTGTGATTCTCGAGTCCACATCTGACCGCTTTCTTCGTCGGCCGTCTTGTCCTGACATGAGCTCAGGGTTGGAGTTGGAGGGACAGGCATAGCTGAAACTGTAGAGACCTGCTTCCAAAAATCGTTCCACTTGCGCTTGTTATGCCCAGTCCCTCGAGCTGCTTCCGAGTCATGTGTAGGCAGCTGGAGAGGAGCTGGTTTCGGCCGCGGGCGCAGACTCGTCTGTCTTGTAAGCTGGGTCGCTCGACGTAGTCGGACGGTTTTGGAAAGTTAGGGTCTGCCTCAGTTGGGCCGGCTTGTCTTGACAGCACTCGAGCCTAGGTCATGACGGCGCTGCGCCCCTACGCATCAGGGTCTCCTGCTTGGAAGGAGCTCGAGGCAAGTGGGTCCAAGTGGGTCTTTTTGGACGATGCCGGGCAGGCTAGGATTTGAGCCGGCGTCGCACATTCTTCTCGCAGAACTTCTTCGTGAACGAAACTCTGCGGCCGTTGGCGAAGTTCCTCTGCACATCCAACAGCTCAGATGGCTATGTCCAGGCAGGGCAATTGGTGATTCGCCCCTTTTGCACAGTTGTGTTGCACTTTCGCGGCTGGCAGCACAGGGCCTTCGGCAGCTTCGGACCTACCACGCTCAGTGCTCAGTGGCACTTTCAGTTGCGGGCAACTGGATGCAGTGCCCATTGCCATTGCATTGGACTCCATTGGTCCATTGGTAATTTCCAGGCAGGTGCCCTCTACACATCATGGCTTTTCGAGCACATTGGTGCGCTTCTGCCCGTTGCATGCCTCGTTGAACCTGTTGCCTGGTGCTGGAGCATGTGCGCGTGGCACGCCCGCTGCTGTAGCCTCTGACAGGGCCGGAGGGGCCGTGCCTCATGTCGAGCACTTTCTTTCATGCCTTGCCGCCAAGCACACTTGTTTCCATCATGGTTGTTCAATGTTTCCGCGAGCAAGAGACAGGCAATTCTTGCACCTGCAGCTTTCCGAAGAGCCATGGTGTGGCAGTTGCTGCCACTCCATGCGCTCGATGAAGAAGTTGTTCCACTTCCCTGTGACGGAGATGCCCCTATCGGGCCGGCAGTTTCTTTGAAGTACGGATTTTGAGCCGGCTGGCAGGGCTTTCAGCATCTTGGGAGGCGGCGGCCTAACAACTTCCTCGTGTGTCCTCATCTTGCAGCAACTTGGCGGCAGAGCGTATTGCACCATCATAGTGTTGCTTCGCTGCCACTGCTATTCTGCCGCTCAGGTGAGTGGAACTCACTGCATTCTGCACTGCAGTGCTGGCCGCCCTCCTGAATTTGAGGCACGGGATGCCGTACAGCATTCGTCCCCAGCCTCCCTTGAAGCACGCCTGCAGAAGCGTGAGAATTGAGTATTGTGCTTCTTTGAACATGGAGGACTGCAGCACGAACGGCAGCTTCGTGAACGACAAGAAGCTGCTGAAGGGCCAGAGGTGTCGTCTAGCCGATGGAGACGTCCTTTCCCTCACCAAACCACTCGATGCAGAGGCCCGAAAACCCTAAACCCTAAACCCTGCACACATGCCTTCCTTTGCCTTCTTAGAGGTTCTCTATCTTATGGTCCTCTGTTTGCCCTTTGCCGCATGTGTAGTTAGTTTCACTCTGCAGACCTCGAACCATATTATGCCTCGCCTGGATTGTCCGAGTGTGGGCGCCGAAACCCTGAACATCTAAACTAAGTAGGAGGCAAAAAAACCCCTAAACCCCTAAACCCTGACCCTGAACCAAGATGCTTTCTGAGCCCCAGCTGACTCTGAAGGTGGAGCCGAAGGATGGGGTGGAGCCGGGCCCTCGCATCCAGTACAAGCTGGTCTTCCACGGAGAGCTCGAAGAGCCCAGGGAGGATCTCGGCTCCTTGGCACGGACCTCTGCAGCCTTTAGAGGACTTTAGGGTTTGGGGTTTAGGGTTTAGGGGGGGTCTGGTGCAGCTTGGGTTTTTCGGTGTTTTCGAGGCGTTTTGCAACGGTCCAGGTGAGATTCCGGCAACGGCGCCTGATCCAAAGCGGCCCGATGCGGCACAGGGGGAGAACCGCTTTGCCCATTACTTGTCAATCCAGGAGCGCGGAGCGCTTTAAAGCTGGTGCTTGCGCACGGGGTGGTTAGACGGCTCCTCAGCTGCCAGGAGCAGCAGAGCAAAGCAAAGCTCAAAGCTGACCTGCTAGTCTCCAAGCTGAACTACAGACGAGAGCCGCTCAAAGCCACCTTTCGTTTACGCTCGAAAGGTTTCCCAGCGCGAGCTGGATGAAGAACGTCAACGCGAGACTCGATTGCGGTTGGGGTTCTACATTGGCATTTGCGCATCACCTGTGTGGCCTGATTGTTCTGGGTGGTGTACGTGTTTGCTGTGCTTCGTCTCAGGTTGAAAACCTCAGCCTAGAGCTGCGCAAAGTCCGCCAGCAGGCCAGCATCCGTACTTGGTGCTTTATGACGTGTATCATCACCCAAGAGCCTAACCGCTCGGCCTAACCACTGCAAGCCTAAGCCGTAAATCTTCCTCTATTGCTGTTGTAACAAATCTCGGATAGGGCCAGATCATGGTATTGCTACGGGCCTCGTCAAGGTGGAAAGCAGTGCCTTCAACAAAAGCACTCTCGTAACCCCTCTTAGTAACCCATGAAGTAGCCTCAACCTTAAAGTGGACCAACTCGTGGCGCAGATACAAAACTTCCTAACCCTACACCGTACTATAGGGGCCTTAATAATTCGAAGAGGGTTTGGGGGGTATATTAGACCATAATTAATAAGGAAATCCCACCCCAAAAAACCCATAAGGCCCTAAACCCTAAACCCTCAACCCAGGGAAAAAAATCTAATAGGGCCCCTGAGCCTGGGCCCTGCTTCCGCTTTGGCCAAGGCCGAGGAGGAGCGGCTTCGGCGCGAGGAGCGGTGCCTCGAAACGATGCAAATCGGATTTAGACCTCTGATGGTCGCAAGCGGGATTCTGCGGTAGGTTGCCAGGATATGTCGGAGAATTGGGATGTGCGAGGGGATGTGGATGCGATGGTTCGACCTGCCTTGACTTGGTGCGAATTCCCGAAAGCCTGCGAGGAGGCCGAGGAAGCCCAGGACAAGCTTGGTGAGGAGGTGGAGGCGCTCCGGGTAGAGGCAGGGAGGAGTTCTTGGGCCCCTGCTTTGGCCCTCAGAACGTTTGCTCGCCTGTCCTGAGCAGGCACGACAGCTGAAGGAACTAACCGTCGCACACGAGGAACTTCGAGGACGTCACGCAACTTCTGAAAAGGACATCGGGGTGCGACTAGAGTCAGAGGAGGAGGAGGGTTTTGTGATTTTTGCCAAATTGGAGAGTGTAGGACCGCGCTTCTTGATCTCAGGGGCTCAAAACTCGAGTCTTTAACGCGCTGTCTATCCTTCTGCTGCAGGAGGCCTTCAGGTGAACCGGAATGACTCCCTACATTACACCCTAAACCCTAAACCCTAAAAACCTAAAACCCTCAACCAAAAAACCCTAAAACCCTAAAGCCCTGAACCAAAAACCGTAAAACCCTACAGCCCTAAAACCCTGAAACCCTTAGTGGCTCAAGGCTTCTGGGCCTTCAAATGTGTGAGAGGAGCTGGCAGAGCGGAGCCGGCAATGCGAGGATCTCGAGGTGCAACGTTCGCAATAATTACCTCTATTATTTTGGGGGTTCCTTATTAGAATTATAGTACAAGGGGCCCAAAACCCTATTGTACATGTTGGCTCGGATCTTTCCTAGGAGACGGCGGGGAGGCTGACCTGATGCAAAACAGCGCTCGAAGGTTCTGTTCATAGATACGCACGAAGAGTTTGTGCATAGGATTTTTTGCCCCGAGTCGATCGGCTTGTAGCTGTCCCAGCACGGATAAGGCAGCGAAGCAGTAAGAGGAGTATTTAGAAGCCTTGAAGCCGATGCCGCTGTCCGCGACGAGGCTCAGCAGCAGCAGTTGCGTGAGGACTTGACACTGGCTGGCGAGGCAGCGCCGCTCGTGTCTTTGCAACCTCACTGCGAGAACTGTAGCTTTCACATGGGTGCTTGTCAAAATTATGGTCCCTTTTGGGGTCCTTATTATAGTACGGCACCTATTATTTAGGGTACCCCAAAAGGGACCATAATTTTGACAACTACCCACATGCAGGCTTCAGGTCCCAGGCTGGAACCAGCAGAGAGCTACGCCAGGCACAGCAAAAGTTGCGACAGCAACTGGCTGAGCTGCAGGTCTGCGCCAAACAAGTGCAGGACAAGAGCAGTGGCATCAGTTGGACTATCAGTCATACGCAGTGTGCACATAATGCTTTCTTCCAGGCGGGGGCTTACCAGGCTGAACTCATTCAGCTTGTTTAGAGCCTTCCAGAGAGGTATCAAACAAAATCTGAGTGACCAGCATGAATAACGCAGGCTGTAACATTGCATTTCTGGCTCTGGCCCCACCTGGCTCCTCCTAACCTAGGGATTTCTCAGGGTTGCTTGGGAGGACGGAAAGAGCCCTCAAAACAAACCGGAGATCCTTCCTTCGGAGGAGTGGGCGGAAAGGCTAATTCGGCAGCAGCAGCTCGAGGCTGAGCAGGATGCTGAACGCGCAAGCGAGGACTCCGGACAGGGCACATAGTACAGCATCATGCAATGACGCAATGACGATCGGCAGTAATGAGAAACAGACGCAGAGATACTCGCAGATATACAGTGATATACAGATCCACAGAGATACGCGCGTGTAATACGCGTATGCATGCGCATGTACCTACGTACACCCAGACATCAAGCACGACTCATTCTGACAGCTAGACGGCTCATTGACGTGGCCGAGACACAGGGAAAACACTAATCACTCGTTTGTCTCTATTTGCAGAAAGGCCCTTGACGAAGTGGACCAGCAGCAGCTAATTGAAGTTCTAAAGTATCTCTATATGCCGGCGAATACTTTACGAACAATCAGCAACATGTACAAAGATGCTCAATTTTGAGTTATTTGTGGCGAACACAAATCACAATGTAAACTGCAGACATCCAGAATACGACTAGGTTGTCTGCCATCTTTCAGGACCTTAAATGTGCCGACCACTTGCAGATGGTTGCACAGGGTTTCTTAGCATTAGCAGCACGAAAAGTAGCATGACAGCTTTGTAAACCTGTAGGACTCTACAGTCTACAGTCTTATTCCGGAACAAGCGGGACTGTTGGCTCTTAGCAATTGCACTTCGGGAATCGAAGCTCTGGAACGAAGCAGTGAGAATTCGAAGGAGGGCCAGCGGCTCCAGGAGGAGCTCCAGGTCTGCAAGGGCCCTTTCCATGTGCCGGGCCATCCGGGCCCTGCCACCAGGTCATCGCTTCAAGCCGCGAGAAGCTGGAGGCGGATGTGTCGGCAAGCAGAGAAGCTCTCGCGAAGGCACAGGGTCTTCGACCAATCTCTTACTTCTGTTTCGCACACTCTTCGAGATGGTGTTGTCGCAGGCAGAGGCAGATGAACGAAGCGCGCGCTCGAAGCTGGACGATGTCACAGCCAAGCGCACTGAGCTGGAGTGTCAGGCGGCAGCTGCGCAGTCCGATGCCGAGACAAAGAGGATTCTCGCTTTGGCCGAACGAGTTTTCTTTGGTTCCGCCAGTCCACACTATCATCAGTTCCCAGTAGGCAGCACCGGCAGAATACCGGTAAAGAGGAGGAGAGGGAGTAGGTACTGTAGGTAGTAAGTGGTGCTAGTAGCAACAGCGATTAGGAGTACAGGTGGTACTTGTAGCAAGAGTAAGAGGATGAACGAGAGTGGTAGTAGTCGTAGTCTCAGTCGTGGTCGTCATGATAATCGTCGCTGTATTGCCAGCTCGTTGTAGTCGTAGTGGTGGTCGGGTAGGTGGGGAGACGGAGGACACGCACACCGCAGCAGTAGATCTGCGCGATCGCAAGAATGGTTGTTGTGACTGACATTTAGGAGTTTCAGGAAATTGCGGACCCTACTATTCGCGCTAAGCAGCATAAGGTCTCCCAACGTCCCGTCGAAGGCATGTCACTACGGATTCAAGAATGAACATGTTAGAAAGCACCATGTCCCTCCAGGAATGCGTTCAAGGTCGCTGAGCAGCGCTCTGCCGCAGCTCGAGCCTTGCTCACGCAACTGGGTGAGGTGGGCAAAGGCCTCTCCAGCGAACCGGGCCGCAGGCAGGGTCCAGGGGAAAACATATTTCAAGGATTTTTGGCGACTGATGTGGATCTTCCAAGCTTCACTTACTATAGGAACCTGATTAAGAAACCCTGGGTCTTTATTAGGGTTCTTAATATGAGCGCTGTTCCTACGTTACAAGCCTGACTGCATAAGTGAAGAGCGTCCTCCAGGCTGGAGCTGTGGGACGAGGTTCTCGAGGAGGGCCTTCCTGGCGCTGCCAAACCCTTGGAAGAGGCCCTGGCGGCCACCTGTCGCGAGGCCTTGGGCGTTTCAAAACATGCAAACTGCAGGGGATGCTGTACTCGTGGCTGAGATCTTGAATTGGGCATTGGCTGGAGCATTGGTTCACTCTGGTGTTTGACATGCACGTCGAGCGATAGCTGGTGCACCTTGCAAAGGATGCAACGTACGCTCGAATGGGCCCTAGACCCTAAACCCTAAAAGGGAAAAAACCCTCGAATGAGTTTCATGGAACACAGAAACTGCCGCACAGGAGCCAGTTCCAGATGGTCAGCTGCGAGCCCGAGATTCCGAGCTCTCCTTACAATGTGAGAAGCCGCGGCAGGACCCCCACATTGGCTCTTTCGGGGATGTTAAGTGCGGGATAGTGCAGGGACTTTCGACAGCCGTTGCAACCAGACGAAAAGTTTTGGGCAAAAGGAGCCACTTCTTACAGCACAGCCCACGGTTGCGGCCATGGAGCTTGACGACGAGGACAACGGAAGCCATGCAGAATGTGACATTGCAGCAGCTTCTAGTCGTTTTTGAGGACAAGAATGGGGCGCCTTTGGCGCAGCTCGCCCTAAGCTTCGGTGAATTGGGATCCTCTGAGTAAGCGCTGCCCTGAGGTCGGAACCTCCGCCCACGGTTCCGCAGGCCGAGAATGTGCCTAGACTGCAGTCGATGCAGCGTTTGCAGCACTTTGAAGCACTGCTTGCCCAGCTGCAGGTTGGCCTTTCAACCGCATCCTGGTCGCATACCCTGTCCTGCTTAAATGAGTTGTTTCGGCATGACGTGTGTGAATGCACATGACTTCTCGACTTGGCAAGCCAGTTTATGTAGCGTTCATTAGCGTTCCAACTACTTCTTGTGTCATTGTCATCAAAAATCAAAAGTCAATCACGCTGTCGTTGGGGCTTCTGCTATCCTTGTCCCACTACAGTACTAATGTAGGAACCTGATTAAGCATAAGACTCATATAAAGAACCCTAATAAGGACCCAGGGTTTCTTACTCAGGTTCCTACATTACCGTTATAACCTTTTTTTTTATACTCCTGATGCAAGGCATGGAGCCTCGAAGTCCTGGACGTGGAGTCGGCGCCGCCGCGGAAGAAGCTCCGCCATGACTGAGGGCCAATTTAGTTGGCGCTCGCAAAAAGGCGTTTGCAGTACTGTTTCCGAATCCTAGCCATCTGAAATGCGAAATTCAATGCGTTGTCATGACTTGGGAAAGCAATGGACAGAGTGCCTGAATATTCAGACCTGCAGAGATTCAACCCATGCACGGGAAGGCACTAAACAAGAGTAGTGTTAGTAATGACCAGCACTAGTTACCATTCGGTCTAGCATGCGAGTACCCAGGAGAGATTAGTGACTAGTATGAGTGAGGAGGCACGCCAACTCCTTAGCATAGGCTCAGAATTCGATTAACACTTTTCCCCCGAGCATCAGGTCTAAGTTGCTACAGGGGGTGCGCAATTTAGCAGAGCCTTTTGGGCGAGTGTCTTCCAATGCGCGAGCTTCTGGTTGCTGTTGCTGCGGATCCCCGCTGAGATGCTAGGTAAACAGAGGTACATCTGTGCACCCAGTCTGAACAGTTAGTTGGGTTGCATGCGAGGGCAACGGCAACCGGTGGCTTGCTCTGCAACTTTGTTCGACGTGCGTGCAATATGCACTGATCGGGCATGTACAGCTGTGGGTGGAAATACAGTAGCCTGAAGGCGCTACGGAGGAAAAAGCCGATCGCAGGTATTTCTGACTTGTCTTCGCAGGAAGCTCCATCTTAGCATTGCAGGTATCAACTTCCTTGGAGATGCCAACGATGCCCGCGCTGCGCGAAAAGTTGAAGATTTGGCTCGGGGCCGATTTTCACGCAAGGCCTGTACGCCCACAACATGCTCCTCGTTTCTTTGACCACTAGGTGCAGTTCTACATGCTGCCACCGGAGCCACGCTGGCTTCCGGATGGCTACGACGACGATGACGTCCAGGTTGCTTTGTACATGTACCACAGTTGCAAGTTGCTGGGTGCATAACATATAGTAACATATAGGAGGCGTTGTGGTGGGCTTGCCTGTCTGTACGTCTTTTCAAGAAGGTCGGGAGGGTCACCAACGCTCAGCGCGGCCACACTTGCACGATACAAATGTTTGAGCGTGAAGCCACTGCTGTCGACTCAGTTCGTGACGAGGCCAACCGTGCTGAGATTCCCAGCCTCCTCGAGCTGCTGGATATCAAACGCCGGGCAGCATCCTCGAACTGGGAAAGTTCTTTGCGTCCCGAGCCAGCAAACATACCGGAAGCTGTAGGTGCAGCCCTCCAGTCATTTCATTGCCACGGCCTCAGTCTTGTTTCGCACGGCGCCGCCATGGTTGATTGACACATCATCATTGAAGGAGCAGGAAGGTTTGTCTGGACATGGTCATCTAGCCCAGTCAAGCCACTAATGAAAACAGGGTTTCGGTTGAGGCATCGAAGCTTTCAGCAATTGCATGGAGCAACCGTGCAAACACGGAGTTATCGCACAAGAGGCTTGGACTGTAAGCAGCACAATCTCTATTCACTGATTTGGCTCTGGACTCCAGGCCCAATGTATCTGACACGCATGAGCAGAGGCCCTGCACCTCTCAGCGGAGCTGTGGATTGACGGTCCGCCGGATGCTGCAAGCCGCAGCTGGGCCGAAGTGGCGAGCGACGGGCTTGTTATCGAGAGTGACTTTACGCTTGAACCAACACACACTCATGGAAGCGAACACGGAAAACGGTATAACTAAGCCCTACGACTGCAAAGGGATCCTGAAACAATGGTCACGTAAAGCGGCATCGTGAATCGCCAGCTCGAGCAAACCGTAGCCACTGAATCCCAACCCGGCATGCCAGCAGCGGACTGAGTTGAAACTGCCTTCGCTCCGTCTTTGGGAGCTAGTGGCTTGCGATGTTGCGTCTGACAAGGAAAGATCTGGCGGGTTGTGTCGCCACCCCAGCTCCGGCGAAGTCTCTTGCATCATTGAAGCTGCTGCCGAAGTGTTGACGTGTTCTTTCAGTAGTGCTACGTGTAAATTAAGTCTTAGTATGCAAAGAAACAAACAAAACACACACACACACAACACACACACACACAGACAAACACTCTTGTGGGAATTCGGCAAGAGCAAGAGGCAAGCAGATAAGAGGGGTGAGGCGGGGTTGTTGTTGAATGATGTTGAACGTGTTCGCTTTACTTGCCCTTTTTGCAGCTTATTGCTCCTTGTACCTTGTTACCATGAATGAAATGGCAAGTAAACATGTTTCACGCTCTGACCATGACACATGGTCGTTAAGGGACTCTTCTCTGACATCATGATGTTGATGAAGATGACGAAAATGAGATGATATTTTTTTGTGCCAAGTATGCCAGACCAAAGGAATGGCATACGAAAACAACGTGAAATGATCCGTCAGCGGTAAGGTTTCTGCCCCTTGCTATGTCAGACACAAAGGAATGACGTAGCAGGAAGTGAAATGAAAGATGAACTAAAGTGAGGGTCTCGCTGCCCACGACGGGGCCCTAAGGCACAGACCGCTGCAGCAGGTACGTTTTCCCAGGCTGCAGGGGGGAGCTTCATGGAACGGAGCTCTTCTGCATCCCGTCCATCCCCCTGCAGTGCGAAAAGGCAGACCAATGTACTCGTAGGAGTGACCCTCTTTTCCCATGTGCTAAGGAAGTTCACACACACACACACACACACGCACATTTTCAAAGTTCAGGCGCACTCATGGTTGGCTTTAGATACTTCACAAAGGATTGTTTGCTTTGCATGCTGTTTGTTGCACAGTTTTGCAAGTTTGTCGAGCTTAGGAGGTTACGCGGGATGCCACTGAAAGTTTCACAAGCAAGCAGGAATCCTGGAGCAGAACCCTAAACCCTAAACCCTAAATAATGGATCCAGACTGATCATGTGGCCCCAACTAGGCGCTAAACGTTCCCTAAAAACCACCAACCCCCGCCGCCGCTGACGCCATGGAAAGTTTTGCTGGCAGTCGTGAGGAGGAGCCATCATGTAAACTACGAGCGTGACGACTGGATCAGGCACCAGAAGAACGAATTTACTATGCATGTTTGGACGAGCAGATATATGGTGAGAGCTCGCAAACTCAATGGATGAGAATGCATGTCTTGCAAGCATTGGACCCTGCATGAACCATGTGACGTGCAAGGGACCTGACTTTTCTGCATGGATGCACTTTGCATGATGCATGGTTGGATTGATGGGCCACCACATGGGTATGGCTTCTCCGAACGGGCGACACACATGCTTGATGTTGCCATGGTGGGACAGCGAGCCCAGCGCCCGTGTGGCGTAAAGCTCAGGGGACTATGTGAAAGTGCTAGATGAGCAATGTGAACGGGCTGTGACATAATCGCTGCTGCTGGTGTAAAAGTGGGCTGTACCGTTGACGACCATTGCCGCAACAGAGAGGCAAAAGTAAAGCTTGCCCTGGACGCCCAAGCTGGCGATTGAATGAGTGCTACAGCATGTCACGATTCGAGCACTTCTGAGCCTCGGTGACACAAACGCATGAGAAGGCGTAATTCAAGAATTTTGCATGCGCGTCACACGAACTGAATATCTCTGTGCCACGGTGATGCTGGTGCATGTGAAGGCGTAATTCAGGACTGTAGCTTGTAGGCTGTTTATGACATCTGTCTCTCTTTGTATGATATTACGGTATTTAGTTTCACACCTGCTACCAAGGAGGATATTCGGTACACCTGAGCCCCCCGGCTCGATGATCCTTTTAGGCTCTGTATGCTCTGTTCCCCCACGTTGCCTCCTCGGCGTAGTGACCGAAGTCTACGAACTAGATACAGTGATGCCGTGGACTTTGGTTGGCACATGCGATTCTGAAGTCTCTTACAGGTTCCCTATCTTAAGGGCTCGCTGTGTTGCTGATCGTGCATGTGCAGTTGTTTCACTTTGCAGCAGACTCATCATTCGCCTCGCCTGGATTGTCCGAGTGTGAGAGCCGAAACCCTAAATAAACCCCCAAGCCTCTTAGCACGTCAGATCTGTAGGGAAAAGATGATGCCAAGGCCTACGCGCCCGCCTCGACGCTCAGGGCTGGTCTTTGTGCGTGGAGAACCCTAGCTGATCTAGCGGTTTAGGGTTTAGAGTTTAGGGTTTAGGGTTTAGGGTTTAGGGTTTAGGCTTCAGGGTTTAGGGTTTAGGGTTTAGGGTTTGGGAGTGTGGGACGCAGAGGTTGGAGGTCGAGTCGAGGCTTCTGGATGAAGCGGGCTTGGGGCAAAAAGACCAGAGCGATGGGCTCCCTCGGAAGCACTAAGGAGAAGCTGGAGGACCAGCTCCGTGCGTTGTTATGCAGGTCAATTAGTCTTTCTTTGTTCCTTGTGGATCGTATAACTCCGTCGGGGAACTGTATCCAAACGCGGCCCTGCCTTCGCTGCCGTTTTGCTCGAAGATGGGTCGAATCGGTCCCGCATGGAATGAATGAGAGTGTCGCCCAGGAGGAATAATTCACGAGAATCTCGGCTGGACTCTCCGAGGGTGGAGGGAGGCGCCACAGTGTTTTTTGAGATTTCATGTTGAAACCTTCGAGGACATGGTGGCCGTCGTGAGTCCGGAAGATCCTCCGGTTGGTCGAATCCCCACGGATGGGGACCGGGACAGTCACAAACGAATGGATGATACGACCACAGCCATTCACCGAGTGCATGAAAGCCACTCGGCCCTGTGTTGGGTTTCGGCAGGCAGTCATGCAGGGTCCTGCCATGTCGTTTTACGATTTAACCCAAGGCAATAGGCAACTCAAGCCGGACAAGGCCGACCCCTTCGGCATGCAGGCACGACGGATTCTCTCATTGTTTCCCCGATTCAAGAGCCTTCGAAGACTTGTCAACACGTGTGGAGAGTTCTTGCGCAGGCACGTTTAGCGATCGCCCGGCATCCAGTCTGTCCACTGCGCAGTCTAGCAGGTCGGAACCCCGAGGGAACTTGTCCCTAAATTATAGTTGTGCTGCCGGCCTTGCTCGCCTCTGTTAAGGAAAAAAGGAAAAAGATAATTTTCAACTGGAGGAAGGCAGCGTCGGAGCTGTGTTTCCGCTTTCTGCTGTCGTCATCGAGTCATTCTAGTTGCTTTCGAGATCTGTGATTGCCTGCCTAGCCTCCTTGCAGGAACACAGACCAAGGTGGAGGAGGACATGACGAAAGCCTGTGACTACATCAGGGAGTTAATGACGCTGTTGGGGGGCAAGGACCAACGCAGTGTTTCAGAGCAAAACCAAAGAGTGCTCGGCATGATTCGATGTCCAGGATGAAAAGTCTGAGACTGAGCGGAAGGCAGGATTTTGGGCAGATGGCCTGTTTTTCCACGGTGGCGCAGCGGCTTCATGAAATTATCCGCCTGCCTCTATTCCCTTCGTCAGAAAAAGCTCGGGGAGCAGCTCAAGGAGCAGCTCAAGGAGTTTACAGCATCTCGCTTTGAGACTTCATCCAGCCCTTTTGCTGTGCTGAACTTTGAGAGCTTGCTGAGAGCGTTGCGAGGCACACATGGATAAGCCCGAGGAGACTTGTCTCTGGTTGTATGCGTACAAAGTTGCAGGCTGCAACAGCTGTTTGTTTCTGGCGACATTAAGGAAGTGGTCGGTGAGCTGTTGGAGGATAAATGTATTGATAAAACGGCTCAGCTGACGATCTTGGCCAAGATCTACAGCCGCTTGGCCTTCAAAGAGCGAGGGCCCAGTGTGCAAGCCCGAGACTGTGCACCCAATTACGCGAGGTAAACTCTCAGGCATAGACCTTGCCGCGGTGGAGGACTCAGTCAAGCAGCCGCTTGCGTCCAGAAGAAGGTTTTGTCTTTGGGTCGGCTATGTTGCGAGTTGTCAGTCGAGGTGAGGCGCTGTGCAGCCTACACCCGGCTGGTTGCCTTTGAGGCCGTCGACGGTGGTTGGCCCCGTCCGAGTTCGGTTCTCCCCCATGCGGCCCTGCACTTCAACCTTACTTCGCAGCAGGTTCCATTCACGGACCATCCATTAAGAAGCCTTTAGTCTAAAATAGTCTAAAGTTGGGCAAACGCCAGTAGCCTGAAGCGTATGTACCGGATGCAGGGCAGGAGAGGGAGTTGTAAACAGGTGAGGTACGGTTGCTTAAGGAAGGCGGGATCTAGGGCAAGAGCCATGAGAGGGCAATGCATGTGCGAGGACCAAAACAAACTGCAGACGGACCGGAAGATAAAGGTGGCCGGGCAATTCTTGCAGTTGTCGATTTTTCAAGACAGCACACAAACGGGTGCTTTCGAGAAGTCAATGTTTCTTGTGCGTGGAAGCATTGCTGAGGCGAAGTACGTCCTCTATCCCATGTTCTTGTTCTTCTGTTGCTTCGCTCTGCAAAGCTTCCTGCTCCATGTGACAACAGCCCTCTACGTGCGGTACATGGACTGCCTGCATTCGCTGCTTACAAGTTGTGTAGGTGTTGAAAGTCTTCTTCAATGCTGAGACGGCAGGAAGCGTGAGTGGTAGCTTCTGAGTCGCCGGCAGGACCGTATCAAGGATGAGCTGGAAACTTTGAAGTTAGCGTCGTCCAACCAGCCCGTCGGGCTCTCCAAGGTTGAAGGCAGGGGAGTGAGCCGTGAGGTAAGTCCGGTGCACAGAGCAGAAGCCTGGACAGGTGGTGAAATGTTCGATCTCGTGTCGCACCTATTTGTTGCGACGAGCCTTGGACTGGAGTTGAATTCGAGCAGGGTTTCCGAAGCAGCAACATGTCTAACGTGCAGTTGCGTTTGCGGCTTCATGCATTTGGGACCTTTTTGAGTCCTTGAATTGTTTGGACTGCCGTTCTGATATGGTCCGCGGTTTCAGGGAGATGTGGCGTGCAAGTATCGAGAATTTTGTGACCGACCGAGGGAGACTGGAGAAAACGAGGCGGCGGCTGGTCTCAGTTCTTTTCGAAAGTTATTTGTGCCTGCGTTGTTCAGCCTCTTGAGTTCAAGGTCCGGGATGGCAACGTGAAGATCCCGATGTTTATTTTGGACCTTTCCGGCAGCTCGGCTCTGGAGTGAAGTGAAGGATACGCGGTCCCTCGAGAGGCTGCAAAGCCTAGAGACTAGAGTGCAGGCATCATTCCGGCCGGCCTTTGTGTGCACAGTCCTCAGTTCTTGCCAGTGTTTTCTCCTGCTACGAGCTTTGGATGACAGAGATTTTGGATTTTGTGCCTGAGGCTGACATTTGGAGCTTCAGCTTATCTCGACCGATTCCACATTGGGCTGTGGTACAAGACCTTCCTTGTTGCCTGCTGTCTTCTGGCCAGCAGTTCGAAGAGACATGCAGTAGCTAGGGGCGCTATATCGGCCACCGACACCCAGGCATGGCAATCATGAAAGGAATCTTGGATCTTGTGACGGTCCTTCCCGATTCCATTGGCTGGAACCAGTTGCCTGGCTCCATTTTGGGTCTAAGCTGTGCAGTCCCAAAGCATCCAGCGGAAGCCAGGCCAAAAAAACACCGGGACGGTGCTTGATCGGTTGCCTGCCCTCCACCTGACCTCGGGGATGCTCAGGGAAAACACATCATGCCTTCGCGAAAGCCTCTGGGGGCGATTCCAAACGATCCCTTGCTGCTGAGGTGTCAAGCTCGGCTTGGCGATGCTGCCCTGCAGTCATCTTCTCAGTTGTGCGAGAGGTAAAGGGCTGGACCGCTTCCTCGCAGCCATTGCTCCTTTGCCTTGACGTCCCGAATCCGGGTTCGTATAGATGATGAGCCTGTGTTATCAAAGCACGGAGCGTCGAGGCAATTGCGGGACCGTCGCTGGTTTAGCAACTTCTGGGCAACCTTGTGGCAGGCGGGTGTTGCAACAGCGCGTTTCAGCAGAAACGAACGCCTACAGTTGCTTGTAGCCTACTAGAACAAGTGGTTTGGCGCTGTCCAGTGCCCGGATATCCGATGCACGAGTGGGTACAGGGATCAATCGAAGTAAAGCGGTGAGTTTTTTCAGCCGAGACGGGTGCTATTTCCCGGGATGAGATCAAATCAGGTGCTGACGGAGTCGCAACGGGGTGGGTGCAATGCATGAGGCAATTATCGACGAAATCATTGGTGTGGAGGGCAAACGTATGCGATATTGTGCAGCATCTTGGACATAGAATAAAGTCTTCGTTCGTTGTCGGCTGTGTTCACCCTTGCCTGACAGCCGTTTTAGCAGAACGTGAACTTTCTTGTTTCTGTGGGCGGTGTCGTGGCAGCTCAACCGAGGACATGATGGTTTCTGGGCACACGCCCCTTGCCTGAAACTAGCCCCCCCTCACCTGGCACATCGCTGCACAGAGCATGCCGGCAGACAAACTGCACTGATGGGTCCAACATCTGAAGTTGTTAATGTAGGGGCCTTAATTTGCCAATACTATTTGGACTATAGTATAATATACCCCCACACCCTATTCTAACTATCAAGGCCCCTATATTAGTGAGAGACGGAAGCGACCGGTGAATCAAGATACTTTGCGGCCTTGTTCTCGCTTGCGGCCTACAAGCTGACGGGCGCGGTGGACTTTCCTCTTTGGGACACCTGGCTGCTTTCGGGACTTGGGGGTGGTGTTGATATTGGTGATTCTGGGGACAATCAAGACAACCACAGTCATGAACACACCGCTAGCTAAAACAGGACTAAGTTGGACGGACTAAGCTTTCTCAACATGAGCAACAGTATTCATCTGAAGGTATCAGCAATGGTGCCAAGACTAGCATTGCTTTGGTGGGCTGACAATCTTGGAGTTTCAGTGGCCCAGTCTTTGCCAGCACTTCGTTTTACGCATGTCATGTGACGCCATAGACCAGTCTCAGAGCCGGATACTGCCTCTGCTCGCCCATACCAGCCGAGGCGCAGCGCTTGGTGGCTGTCCTGCAGAAAGGATTGGGTTCCTCTCCTCGCTAGCAGAACAGCATAAGTCGAAAGGGTCCAGATGCTTGAGTCTGTTCCACCACGAAGAAATGTTTGACGACCTCTTCCTCCTCCGACTGCGACTATTGCCTTCCTTTTGCTCGCGTGCTAGCGAGCAAGCCTTCAAGCTTGGCCTCCCGTGGTTAGTGTTGCCTAAGACAGCTTCAAAGAGAACATGCAAGAGTGCAGTAAGCACCGCTCCGAAGAGCCAAGCTTTCGGCCGTCGATCCGTCCGGGTCGCTGCAGCACCGGCCGCACTGGGACGGCAGACCTCCCACGTGCTGACTCATCATCCCATGACCTGAATGTGAAAAGAGAGGGGAGGAAACATCAGAGCCACAAGAAGCGAGCACTAGCAGGAGCACGATCGTGTTTCTCGCCATTTCAGCCATCACCGTCTAGTTTTCCCACGTGAAACCAAACTACTACTTGTACTACCGCAACCGCCACCACCACCAGGACGACGACGACTACTACCACTACTGCTACTGCTACTGCTACTACTACTACTACTACTACTACTACTACTACAGAACCTCCAGACGACGGCGGACGACATCCAGTGGCACACGCAACAAGTCTTCCACAGAGGAGGAACACTTGATGAGAGCCTGAACAAGACCTTGGAGAACACCCGCATGCTCGGAGAGGCCATGGAGGAACACAACGAGCACTTCCGCGAGGCCCTAAAAACGATCCAGGCCAATGTGGACGAGCTACTAAGTCGTCTTCTTCCAGCAGCCACACGACCTCCGCAGACGTCGCAAGCACACATGCCGCCCCCCACGTACAATGCTTCGGCGCCAGCTGCAGGAGGACAAGCTCAGCCGGGACCCAGTCAAGGAGGCCAGCAAGGGGAACCATGCCCCCTCAATCTGACCAGCGCCCTGCGGTTCAAGTCGCCGCCTACTCCACCTCCGTCGACGCCGGCGCCCATGATGTGTGGAATGACGGGAATGGGAAGGCCCCTGCCACTGACTGCAGAAGACCTCGCACGACTCCTGCTCGTAGTACAGTCCCAACAAGCCCTGCTTGGATCTCCGCAGTAGACGACCGACAGCAAGTGAGGCCGTTGATTGCCCCGGACAACTCCCCCCAACAGTAGAGTTGTGTAAAACATAATTCAATACTTGTTTTGCATGTTGAACTGGCTTCGCCACCTTTGCAGTTGCAATACGCTGTGCAGCACTGAAATTCGTATCTTGCGTTGAGAACTGACCTTGATCGTGTACTGTCCGCTGTTGTGAAAAGAAGGCTTCGCCGCTGCCTTGCAAAACTAATTCCCGAGCCCAGTCCCAGGATCATGGTTCCAGGCGAATAGTTATTTCCCTCCCAAAAGCCCCTGTCATAGTGTTGCTGCGCAGAAGATAGTGTCTAGGGATCCATGTCCATGAGTGATGTGCTCGCCGCCCCCCCCATGCCGGTTAGGAGTGTTAGTGTCAGTTCAGTCCTTTGGGCCCAACGGTCAGACACTAGGGAACTCTGGACCTCGTCGCTGTATAAGGATGGACGTTTTCTCGCACGAGGACCCTCCAAGAATGCTTCGCATGTTCTGGGAGCCCTTAGGAGGAAGCCTGGATGCGTGGGATGTCTGGACCTTACAGCTCGTCATCTTGGGCGCACTGATGGCTCAGGTTCTCTGCGCAGGCCTTATGTTCACCTTGTTTCTGTGCGCAAGGAAAGAACTGCATATGATGAGGGAGGACCTCAGACGAGAAAGACAAACATACCTCACCACGGGAGTCGTCACGTCTGATGCCCCCAGGGCATTTGCTGGACTTATGAAAGATGAGGGGGATAGAAAGCACAAGGACCTAAAGGGATACATACGGCTGCTGGGAAAGGAACTTGAAGAGTACAAGGAGAGGTTCCTGACAGTTCAGGGATTACTTGCTGTCATAAGCAAGCATACTGCACCGCTACTTAAAGATGTGCCTGACACCTTGCGCAGCATCATGAACCACCTCGATGACATCAAGGACTCCTTCGATGAGGGCGTTCAGAAATCCTTGACGATGCTGGAAACCAGGTTGCTGGCCTTCGAACAGGAGTTTGCCATGCAGAGAGAGAAGATCCCTGAGAGCCTTCGAAGACAGAACGCGTCTGTGGAGAGAGTCTGCGTTAACGTTGGGATGACTTTGACGTCGACCCAAGACACGATGACAGAACTGAACACACAGTTCGAAGCGCTAAAGGCAGGAGTTCAAGGCATCGAGCTCCAGTGGAACCAGTGGACGGACACCCTTCAGCACCACGACCAGCTACTCGCCTCCCTCGCAGGCCTACAAGGCGAAATACTAAGGAAAGTCGACAAGAGCAACGCTCGTTTGCTCGCCTTGCGTGACCTCGTCCAAGCCACAACTCAGGCTCGGACTCAGGAGTCGTCGACCGAGGCAGCCGACCAAGCCTTAGGAGGGCACCCAGAGCCTTCGACGTCGAGAGAAGAAGATGGTCCAACAGGCCCCGAAGAGGACCGTGAAGAGATGTCCACACGCCGCCAGTACCACTAAGGATCACTGAGGCTGCACAACGCCGGGAATGCGTATTATGGCCCAGAACGGGCTGTTGCTGGCAGAAGTCGGCCCCACAAATAAGAGCCGTACCTGTAGAAATTTTTGCTCTGAGTCCTTTCCCCTGTAATTCATGAACTGTTCCTGGTACTGCACTGCATGCAAACCTTTGAATTCTGTACTGCCTTTGCATGACGCTGAAAAATCATGCTTCTTCGAGGGAACCAGTGATCATCCTGCACAAAGCCCCCCCGAAAGGAAACCTCTGCCTTGAGCCACCCATTCGCAGCACTTTATGCCCGAAGCCGTCCTGTACCTACATGCCTCAGGGGGTTCTGCCATGTCGTCCGGCTGTCGAGTTTCGTCTCTGTCTAAGGGACTTCTGGAAGAACTGAGAGACCACCCTAACATGGAGCCCCTGGATCTCGACTGTATTCTGTCCCATATTCCCCCGAGGTTCTGGAGCCCACCCCCCAAACCACATGGCTGCATCGTATTTGGACTCTCACCGAGATCTTTGGAACTCACACATGCAACCAAACAGTTCCCTGACCTCGCCACACTACTTGCACAGTATGTACAACTTCACCTCCCCAACCTCCGCTTTAGTACCATAGGAGTTCGGGTAGGAGGAAAACTGTCGGCACACCGTGACCTTGGCGTCTCAGGGACTAGTGGGGTTCTTTCGGGCATGGGGTCGAGACCATGTGGCTTTTGGAGAGCAAAGGCTGCAGGAGATTTCTTTGAGGAATTTGAGGGTCGCTTAGTTATTGGAGAGGTTTGTGACTTGAGACGTGGAGCCTTAACCTTCGACCCCAAACAACCTCACTGTGGATTCCAAATAAGCCAAGCGCGAAGAACAAGTGTGAGTGCATTCCAATTGTCAAGAGCCCAAGTACCTCAGCGACAAGTCCTGGACAGACTCATGGAACTTGGTTATTTCCTACTGCCTCCAACATCCCTATCCCAAACCTCGATCCTCTCGCTCTTGGTCAGGAGCACAGACCTGACTAAGGGAAACACTGAGGCATCGCCATTTGGCGCGGCAACCCCAAACAGTCAACATCCGCGAGCCGTAAAGTCAAGTTCTGGGGAATTGCTTGTTCCTTTGATTGACCTGACTGGTGAAGAGGACGAAGAGGACCAGGTACAGCCGGAAAGGGTGTAGATGCGTGGGTGACGATTGGTGAACGTGGTCGCTCGTTTGGTGGTGTTAGGCTGCGTGTAATACGCACGATGACGCCCGTGGAAACTGCACAAACTTAGTGTTCTCGTGCTGCCCTTGCCTTCTTGCACTGCCTTACTTTTCCTTGCTTCCTGCGCACTGCTGTCACCCCTTGCCGATTTTTCTACTGCGCTTCCTTGCCCTGTCTGCACTGGCTTGTCTGGGTTGGGTTCTTATGGTTACTCCTTTATAACTATGGTCCCTAACGTCCCATTCCGGTTGGGAAAGCGAAGGGCTGTCTCACGCCAACCCGGTGCCTCGCCATGGTACGTTATGCCCTACCTGGACTGGTGCATACCACTGCAGAGGCCGCTGATACCTGTTAGCATGCCCAAGCTGGCGAGGTAGAAAACAGATATCTCCTCACTGGGTCGACTGGTGACACTACAACAGAGCGACACCCACTGACTCCATGCGACGAGCTGGTGACGACGCGACCTATGTGCTGACAACGCCGAACCTGGCCATCTGTGTTGGGACATGACAGAACGGAACCCCGGAAAGACCGCGCTGGAGACAGCAGAGCCCGTATCACGGTATGGTTTGGGCCGGAGAGTGACTCAGCCTATGCGGAGCCCCCCTCAACCACGGCCTCCCACTAATGGGACATGCCAACGGGACGACCTTTACGGCCTCCCAAGAATGGGACATGCCAAAGCTGATATACTCTTTCAGGCTGGAAATACACACACACACACACACTGGGAGAAGGACTGCGTGGACCTGTGAAGTGGAAGGCGCTTGTGACGACCTCGCTATTCTGGATTGCACCTTCCGAACGCATCTGGGGTGAATGTCCATTACGGCCTCCCACTACTGGGACATGCCAACGAGGCGACCTTTACGGCCTCCCAAGAATGGGACATGCCAAAGTGGATATCGGGCATGGTTCTTCCGAGCGCTTCTGGGGTGAACGCCCATTACGGCCTCCCGTTACTGGGACATGCCAACGAAGTGACCTTTGCGGCCTCCCAGGAACGGGACATGCCAAAGTGGATATCCCTCTCCGGGATAGGACTACAAATGTACTGTGCGATGAGGAAAGAACTTGTGATGACCTTGCTACTCAGCATGGCGTCGTGAGCGATTCTGGACCAGCGGATAGAAGGGAGCCGACGTGCCTGAAAAATAGAAGCCTCTACAACGTGGGGGCCTCTCTCGATACAACAGGAATGGAAGACAGCAATCGGACACGTGACGCCCCCTCCCTGCGATTTTTTCCGGGGCTGCTGGCTGGCACACCGGTATGGACGTGGTACAATAGTTGGAAAGACCCGAACAAGCTGAGTGAGCCGGTGACTGAGTAGCTGATATGATGCCCCTCCGTGCAAAGGTGACTGGTTGGGTAGCTGTTGGTGTGTATGGAGTAGGGGTCTTGTTTTTTGTGGTGAAATGCACGTGATGAGCATCCTGGAGTAAGTTTATGCGCCCCGACGACATACAGAGGAGCGCTTAAACGGCCAACAAGTGCTGCACACTTTGAAATTAATTAAATGGTGTACTGAGTCAGCAACGAATTCAGAGCCTTCAAACATCTGCATACTGCACCTTCTTTTGGTTGGTTTTTGGGTATTAATTTCACCTTTCTGTTTCCGTTTGGGGTGCAAGTGGGTGGCCTAGTGGTCGAGGCGGGAACGCAAGCTAAGCCTGCTCCCGCGTAGAGTTGATAGTACTTCGGACTTCGGGAAGACAAATTTCTCCTGGACTGATTATCAGAAAGTTTTACGTGGGGCGATGTGAGGCTTCCGGAATGTAACATAGAGAGCTTGTGTAGCTTGGTGTGGTGTTGTTGCTGTCTTTGGGAAGCCTTCTGTCGTCCTGCACCTCGTCAGTAGTCAAGACCCTGCAGTGCTGTCGTCGACGTGCCAAGTGGGTGACAAAAACTACTACTACTACTACTACTACTTCTACTTCTACTACTGCTACTACTACTACTACTACTACTGCTACTGCTACTGATACTGCTACTGGTACTGCTACTACTACTGCTACTGCTACTGCTACTTCTACTTCTGCTGCTGCCGCTGCTACTGCTGCTGCTACTTCTACTTCTTTTGCTGCTACTTTGACTATTTCTACTACCTTCGCAAGGTTGCAAATTTCTTGAACCTTTGCTTCAGGTCGCCCTCGTTTGCGTGCTTTGCCTTATCCTGGAAATGGTCCTGGTGGCCGCGGCGCGCTTCCACTACACTGTAGACATGCTTGTGCCGGCACCCCGGGCCATGTTCACTGAACGGCATGGGATTGTCAGTTTGGATCTTTCGCTGATGCACCGTCAGGCCCGACTCATTCCAAACGAACAGGATAGACAGACGCACCTGAGGTCTGTCATCTTGGTTTGCCTTCTATGGGACAGCATCTGACCAGCAAACATGCGGTGATGAAATTTAAGCAGGTTCTGAGGTAGTGCTTCTCAACACCATGGTGGCGCCCGGTTGTAGGAGGCGCTCCTGGCCAGGATACTTCAAAAAGTAGCACCAAGGGCCTCCTCCGCAGCCGCAGTTGCATGAGCTGTTTTTCATTCGGCTTGCTCGTCCTGAATTTTACACCATACCAAGACTCTGTTTGCAAACGTCACTTTCATGCATTGCCTCGGTGGTTAGGCCTGCGCATGGAGCAGTGGTCCTCGGACCTCTCAGAAGGACTGCATTGGTTCAGCCTCTGTTGTGCTGATGGGCTTGCAACGAGTTAAGCTGAGGGGGGTGTCAGACTAGGAGCTCATCATTTTTAGCAGCCTCGCCTTGGGTTTTCTACACCGTTTCTTTGGCGCGCATCTGCAGGATACAATTGGAGAGACGAGGATTGGTGCCGGGTCGGACCTTGGTGGAAGCTCTTCAGGCTGCCTTTGTGTGCCGACTCGACGGTAATGCACTGCAAGGAGACAGAACAGCAGATACGTAAAGGCAGCAAGGGTTACATACAAAAAGACGACCAATAAGCGCATAAAGCCAACAAGAAACTATGGCAATGCACGTCTGTATGCGAGACGCACCCGAGAAATCATGGATTGGAAATGGAGAATGGTTCCCTTATTTATCTGTACCTAGAAACACCAATAAGAGAAACATGATAATAGCGCCCTCCCCCCCCACCCCCCGCCCTCAAAAATAATGGATTGGAAATGGAAAATGGATCCGTTATTTTCCTGTAACCAGAAACACCAATACGAAAAAGATGATAATGATAACCCCCCCGAAAAGAATGGATTGGAAATGTAACATGGGTCCATCATTTTCCTGTAACTAGAAACAACAAGAAACAAATATTAATACCCCCCCCCCCGCGGCCCCACCGCCCTCGAAAAATAATGGATTGGAACTGGAAAATGGATCCATTATTTTCCTGTAACTAAAGATACTGATAAGGCTGGTGGCCCCCCCCGCCCTCGAAAAAAAAATGGATTGGAAATGGAAACCGGACCCATTATTTTTCCTGTAATGCGTAATAATGATAAGGCTGGCGCCCACCCCGCCCTGGACAAGTAGTGGATTGGAAATGGAAAATGGATCCTAGAAACAAGAAGAACACTAATAACAATGGCGACCCCCCCCGGACGTACGTAAGTCAGTAAGTAGATAGGTAGGTAGGTCGGTCGGCCGGTAGGTAGGTAGGTAGGTAGGTAGGTAGGTAGGTAGGTAGGTAGCAGGAATGTATGCATGCATGTATGTACATGTGAAATAGCAACACATTGTCCTACAATGTTGTGTGGGTACTCTTTCAAACTGCCGTGCAGCTGTTGCAGGCTTGAGACTATCAGGGCCAAGCCAAGCGATGCTGCCGAGGCACGTTTGACACATTGACTTGAAACTGTCGGTGCAAGCCTTTCCTTGCAGGGTTGAGGGTTCAGGATTTGGGGTTATGGCTCAGGGCTCAGTTTCATCAGGTCACCCGGCAGTTTAACAAAAAAGGTACAGTATTGGGCCCAGTGGAGACGGCCATCTTGGGACTCCGTTCGGCGCCGCGGTCGATGGTGCATTGTTCTTTCGATTGTACCGGCATGTTCTTGGCAGGATGACCGCGCGCCCGAAGAGCCCAAAGTCTTGCCGTCACAAGCCACTTTCTTGATCAACCTGCCGCTTTCCAGCGCCCAGAACATGCGATGTGTCGTGCAGTATGCAAGCACTCCGACTTTTGGGGGCTGCCCAAGGAGGATGCTATCTGGCAAAGCTCCCTGGTCCTTGGACGACGTTGTTTCATCCGGTGCCCAAGAGACGTTCACCAACGACCCAACAAGTCCCACAAGCCAGCGGGCAACACTGGACCGGGACCGCTCGTTTCCAGGTTCAGATGGGACTGTCGACGGGTATCGGTTAGGAGAGGAAGCTTGTACACGGACATGGGCCTTGAGATGTGTGACATGGCAAAACCATCGCTCCTGCAGGACTCATGGCGTTGCGACGAAGGGATACCATTGATTGGAAGCTGCACGTTCAACAAGTAGGAGTAGCGGGCCTAGAGTATGCGGTCCGCAGGCAGTAGAATGCCGCATGCGGTTTTTAGGGCTTTGGACTCGGACGAATGGCGGCGCTATTGCGTTGCCGTCGGACTGGCGAGCAAAGCTTTGATGAGTTTTTGTCCAGTGTTCTTACAGCCCACTCCGAGTCGTGTACAGCCTCCTCTCTCTGCTTGGCATCGCGGCATTACGAAGTTATGTTCGCGTTGCTATTGCTATGCGCCTGCACTGAGTTTAGGGTGCAAGTCTCGAACAAGCTTGATATAGCTTGATGCTGCAGCCGGACCGATAGAATGATACAAATGGTCAAAAAGCTAAGGCGTAGTATGCATATATTTCAAAGCCATCCGCACAAAGCAAGATATTTTGGACATTCAGATAACCGCTAGCTGGTCAGGGCAGCTGAAGGCAAAGGATCCTTCAGCACCTGTGCCAGTGCCATAGCTAATCACTCATGCAGGACTTAACTGCAGCTCACTGAAGGTTGGGCACGCAGAAAAAAAGCAGCGAGCAGCGACAGGAGAGTCAGACTGCTCTTCCATGTCCTGCAGGCATGTGGATGCGCAGGGTATTTCTGCGTCTTATGGCATCAGCACGATGAGATGCGAAAAGCTTGCCGGTAGGGGTCGATCTGAGAGGAGCACGGCATGCCGGATGACGATGACCCAGGCTTCGGAATGAGGACTGCTACGTGACTAGCTCAGCTGCGAGTAGCGAGAAACTTGCCGTACAGACGTGAGATTGCCGAGGTTGCGCGATTACCAACGAAAGCACCACGCGGAAGTGACGGCCCTGTCCCAGGCACATGCACTGGAAAGGAGGATTGACGGACCTTGTAGGCCTAGTGGAACATCGAAGTAGGCGTGGCGACGCTTCAGAGAAGAAGGAAATGACAAGTCCGTGCTCAAACTCTAGATGCTAGAGAATACAATAGACCTTGCGCCATCAGCTTCAGCTGTGAGGTGGTCGAAGCCATCCGAGACATGCAGGCGATCAGGGAAAAGGGGGCCAAAGTGATGTGCTAAGTCAAACTTCGGCCCGTGGTTTCTGTTGTTCCACTTGTGTTCAACATTGTCTGTCACGGGGCTTGGCTCCGCATAGGTCATAAACGTTTTGAAAATAGCACAGCATGCTTGTAAAGAGTCGTGCGGGCAAAGTCTGTCGAACACAACCGAGCTCCAAGGCCTATTGAGGTGAACCACAGGTGGTGAGCAGTGGTTGTTGTCGCAGTTGTGTTGTTATAATACACCTGCCGAAGCTTCTGCTTGTATTCGTTCGGCGGAATAGTAGGTGAGTAGGTGGATATACGTGGCCCCTTAGGCCGTAGTTCGAGTGGGAACACCAGAGCATGGACAGCTGTGAGGAGACGGCGGCCGAGACCTCAGGCAACGCTGGTGGCATCCAGGCGGGATGTGGCTCTGCGAGCCAACAAAATTTGACAACGATGTGTCGTGCTTTAACTTCCAGGTCCTGGCAAGGATGCGGATCCGCATCGGGACACTTGTTGAAAACCAATGGAAATGACACACTCTCAGGCTACCACATTGGAGCTCTGCTGTAGGTTGGTTGAATAAGACTATGCAGAATAGTTTGCAGGAGGGGCACACTAGGCATCGCCCACGGCCTGCACGCCTGGCACATGCAGTGATGAAGTTCTAGCGTATTGCCTTGCGGCATTTGGGGCTGTGGTGTGTCGATATTTGCTGGTTGCTACTGTGTGGGGTCTGGATTGCATCCTGCATCTAGATGGAGCTGTCTCAGTCGTACCCTGTGTGAGGGAGTCAAAAGCCTCGGGCAATGGAGCCGATACACTACATGCTTGCCTTTGACTCGTCCGCAAGTCAAGTCAACAGACAAGTCTTATCATACAAGTGTGCACAGGTGCGTGGTTGGGTGGAGCTCTTCGTGCCCCACTACCCTTGCTCCAGGCCTGCCAGTTCGAGCGTACTGCTTGAAATCGTGTGACCGTACTGCACAAATGCATGCGGCCCATCCAATTATCAGGTATATCAGTAGTATGGTCGTTTGCTGTATTGACTGTTCTCTTCTCGCCTTCAGTCGGGTGCGTGTGTTCTTTTGGCGGCGGTGTGAGCGGCTTCAACTCGTAGATGAATTGCGTACACGGCCCAGCATATGAGTGCATGCAGGCTCATGAAAGCACCGCGTGTGTGCACGTGTGTGCGTTCGTGTCAAGCGAGAGCCATCGCACCAGGAAGACAGACTTTACCTGGAGCAGTGATCGTCAGGCTGACAGAAACGAATGCAGCAGCGACGACAGGACCAGCAGCAATACCACTGATTAGAATAGAAACAGCGCTACCACTAACATTGCCAGAGCCATTGCCAAACAACGCAACACCAAACAGCCACAATGCCACGACAACAGTAATCAAGAAACTAAAAGAAAGCTACATGCAGATAGTCCCCCACCCTGGAGAAAAGTACCGGGGGACTTGTCAAGCAAGACTTCTTTGAGGCGGTCGGTCCGACAAATTGAAACCGGAGATGGGGCATGACCCGACGCCTAGGTATTTTCTTGCTCAGTGGCCGGCATGCCTGGGTGGATGTATCACCGGATGTCCTGATTGCAGACGTAAGGCGCAAGGCAGAGAGAAGCCTTGAAACTTACTTGGAGGGCCTCGTCTCAGAAGCCGGGGAGCCACTGCAGGAATGGAGCACGGTGCATCTGGCGGACCTGGAGGATGGAGGGAAGCTCTTTGCTCATGTGAAGGCACGGAAGCTTTTCCCGCTGTCGCAAGGCGTCGCTATAGTTCGTGAAGACGGGTCGGCTGCTCTTTGGGGCTATCACGGAATTGTGGCACCGGACCTGCCTTTGGGTGTTCGGCAGGTTTCGGCTTCTGAGAGGGCTTTGGCAGCATTGCTCTCTGACGGATCGGTGATAACGTGGGGTGAGGAGTTCTGTGGAGGTGACAGCAGCGCAGTGCAGCAGCAGCTCCGGAATGTGGTGCATGTGGAGGCAAACTACGCGGCTTTTGCGGCAATCTTGGCAGATGGTCGTGTGGTGAGTTGGGGATGCGTTCGGCATGGTGGGGACTCTGGCGCCGTGCAAGGCGAACTGCATGACGTCCGACATGTTAGCAGCTCCTTGCGTGCCTTCGCGGCTCTGCGATCAGATGGCTCTGTGGTGACGTGGGGCGATTCTCTGCATGGCGGTGACAGTGGGGCTGTGCAGTCTCGGCTCCGAGACGTTCAGAGGCTATACGCCTCATACAACGATTTTGCTGCGCTGCTGGCAGATGGCACCGTGGTCACATGGGGAAGCACCTCTTTGATCTCTTTGCAATCGTTCTCGAATGTACGACACATTTCCACAACAGTCGGAGCTTTCGCTGCTCTGCTGTCGGACGGAACGGTTCGCACTTGGGGCGAGCTGGAGACCGGAGGTGACAGCAGTGTGGTCCAGGAACGACTTAGGAACGTTTGCCTGCTGCATGGGTCAGGAGCAGCCTTTGCTGCTGTTACTGGAGATGGTTCCCTTGTCACCTGGGGAGACGAAAGTTGTGGCGGGAGTGCTAGTGGCGTGCAAGGTGAGGTGCTTGGCATTCGGTCGTTGTGCGCCACAGCTGGTGCTTTTGCCGCGATTTTGGAGGATGGGTCTGTGGCGACCTGGGGTGATCCAGAGCATGGGGGCGACAGCCGGAACGTAGGAGAACAACTCTGCGATGTGCAGCAGATCGAGGCATCTTTCAGCTCGTTTGCAGCCTTGTTAGCAGATGGCACGGTCGTGACCTGGGGCCTTCCATCTTACGGTGGCCTGGGGGCCAAACAAGCCGAATTGTGCATTTGCAGAGAGGCTGAATCCTGTGACGACCAGGCCTCGAACGACACCCATGAACACATCTAGACTCTGGACACTTTAGAGTTTAGACGCTCGACTCGATGGGAGCCTCACCATAGCGTGGTCTTCGAGCTCGAGTGAAAAGGTGAAAAGGTACGTAAAGGCGAGAATACAGGTTTCAGCGGTCAAAGCAAGCCTTCAGGTTTCATTGCGGTGTCCTCGTGTAGCAATTCAGCGTGTTTCCCTAATCTTCGCAAGCGAAGCCATCTTCCGCAGTTGTACTGGGGCGCTGGTCCAGTTTGCTGCCCGACATCCTCAGATATCCGTGGGAAGCTTGGTGGCCACACATGGGAACGCAAAGCAGCATGCAGTATATTCAGGCCGTGTGATGTCTGAGGTGCGTGTCGGCCACGACGACTGGCGGCACTGGCTCAGGAGCGAACACCGTATTTGCAATGCATTCTACGAACATTGGCTAGGCGACAGGACAGAGGCCTGGGTTCTCTCCGGCATAAAAGAAACTACAAGCCCAAGGAATGAGCCCAACCACGAACCTGCAGTTGCGTTGTCTTTTAACGTCTGGCACCAAGCTTGAAGCTTTGCTTTGAGACTTCTTTAGGTGAGAAGCAGAAGCAGCCTGGATGCAACAATAACAGCAGACGGACGGACCCATGCCTCGCCTGGAAAGCCCAAGTGTGAGTGCCGAGACGCTAAACCAAAAAGTGCAAGACACGCGTCAGGCGGCTTGACAAGTGCTGGGATCCCCAAGACGTGCGACTCTCAGCTTTCCCAGCAGTGGAAGTTGCCTCAGCACACCCTGGCCAGCCTGCAGGAGCGACATCATCTCCTGTCCATCAACGCGCGCCAGCTGCGCGACCTGGACAAGAACATCGGAGAGGCCCAGTGTTACTGCTGGCTGACTTGATGCTGAGTTCTGCTCGGCGTAAGCTAAACCTGGAGGCTATCCCAGAAAACTATCGCATGGCGTCGGGGGCTTGGCGGGCTTTGTGTGGTCTTGCCCCATCACGTCCCGCCCCACATGGTGGAGAGACATGTGGAGACCATTGAAGCCCCATATCCTGTGCCAGCAACCACCATTCAAAAGTTATATTAGACAGGAAGATGACAAGATGTAACTTACTGCAACACAGCAAAATCACAGTGAAATGCACATGTATATGGCAAGGCTTGACATAAGTATACCGGTGTGTACTATATCTGCTGCGTCTGCTACGTGTTAGGCTAGTCAGAAGGCTATCTGGCTGTTGACATGGCTTGCTGGCTGGCCAGCCAGATAGGCAGGTAGGTAGGTAGGTAGGTAGGTAGGTAGGTAGGTAGGTGGATAGGTAGGTAGATATATAGATGAATAAATCGATAAAGGTGTGCGCTCTGCTTCGTGTCTTGTCTTTTGCCGTCTCTTCCAAGGCTGCGTGGCACACTCGGAGCCACGGGCATCGCTGGCGAAAGGCCCCCCATGGCTGTGCGAGGCCTTCCGAGATGAACAGCTTTCACCTGCCACACGGCCCCGGGACAATTTAAAAGTGACTATTTAGGATTATAACATGATTAAACCTTAGAGCTTAGTGTACTGTTAGTGTATGTAGGACAGTGTACATGTATCCTTAAGGCCTTTGGGTTTCCGGGTTATTCGAGTCCGGAGAAGACTGAGGCAAACTGAGGCACGAGTGTCTAGGCACAGAGAAGGTCAGGTCGCGGCCCGAGGCAGTAATAATAATGATAAAAATAATGATAATAATAATGATAACAATAGTGATAATAATAATGATACTAATAAGGATAATAATAATAATGATAATAATAATGGTAATAATAATGATAATAATAATGATAATAGTAATGATAGAAATAATAATGCTACTAATAAGTGAGCTTGGTAACATGGCAGGTTCAATGCCACCACCTGCAGGATATCCTGCTGTTAACGAGGCGCGCCCGCGGTAGCACAGCTGTGGCTAACCATAGTCCAGGCGAAGCAACTTTGTTTAGACCCTATACCCTAAACCCTAAACCCTAAACCCTAAACCCTAAACCCTAAACCCCTTTCGGCCTTTTCCTGGTGCTCCTCTGTTATTCCTTCCCATCCGAGGCCGTGCGGCAAAGTGAAGCGCCGGCCACTGCGCCAGAAGCGCCGCCAGCACCGTTAGTCCGTCAGACCTTCTACTGAAGCCGCGCGCTTCTGGCCGAGGGTCCAAAGGAGGGTTGAGCCGCAGCTTGCATATCTTTGTTCCTGGTTGATCCTGCAGCGTGTGATTGAGGCCAGCACTCTCTTCAGTACCGAAGTTCGAGACATCTGATGTTTTTGCGCTTCAATGAATTCAAGTGTCGAGGCCGGGGTCCTTCCTGCCCAGGACATTGAGCAGGACGGAAGCCGTCACACGCGTGCAATTGGAAAGGAAGTGCGCAGGCTGTGCCCACAGCACTTTGGCCCAAGACTTCTTTCACTTTCTAATCAGGGCATCCGGGCTCTGCACAGTTCCATGGCGACAGGAATGGTGAGTTCTCCAGCGGCCACTTTAGCTCTTCCTCGAAGGCGTGGGGTGTCCTTGGTAGCGGGTCCAGGACGCCCACGGGTAGCCCCTCCTCCGCTTGCCGGCGGAACTCCCGGTCCAGGATTGCTCGGAGTAGCCGGAGATATAGCGGCTGTCCCGAAGGCACCTCCAGCAGTCCAGGCGTGGAAGCAACAGACGTGCGACAGCCAAAGTGACGGCAGTTTGTCCTACCGAAGCTGTGCCAGTGATTCTGGCAGTGTACTGGAAGGAGATGCATCGAGTGCACTTTCAGATGAGGAGCAGCGTCCACAGGCTGCAGCAGTGATTACAGAAAAGGAGTTGCAGGACGTTATCGCAGAGCTGCAGGAGAAGTGGGGCGAGTGTTGTGGCCTGTATGTGCACGGCTCCACAATATTCGCCAACCAGCCGCCGCACGACCTGGACTTGATTGCCGTCATCGACCATGCGAAGCAAGGGGTGCGGCAGGACTCGCCGGACTCGCAGTTCACTCTGGGCCGCTGTGAGGTGTCTGTGTATGAGCGTCGATGCTTCTTTGAGAAGCTGCATGCCATGGACCTGACCATGCTGACCTGTCTTTCCACCCCGAAGCGCTTTGTGCTGAAAGAGCTCCAGGATGAGCGCCTTCGAAGCTTCGAGCTGGACCTGCGATTGCTGGAGGAGTCACTTCCTACGCAGAATTCACCTGGCTGAAGGCACAGCGTGTCTTGAACGACTGGAAGGATCCGTACAAGTCGAGCAAGAACGCATACTACGTCTTTCGTGTGCTGGAGTTCGGCTGCCAGCTTGCGGATCATGGGCGGATTGTTGATCTCAAGGCCGCAAACCATATGTGGGACGTCATCAAGGAGCTCTACCAGGTACTGGACATCCAGCCGCACGAGGAGAAAGACAGTGCCAGCGAGCCTTAGGGCCTTAGAAGCCTTAGGGTTTTAAAGACTGTCGACTCGCCAGTTTACGGCAACTGTAAGACTGAGCCGGTGTCACAGGGAAGCTTCCGGCAAGAGTAGTCAACGACTCTTGACTGTTAGGTGGCTTGCTGGAAGCTCTAGACTCTAGACTTCCTGTGATGTTGAGGTCCTGTATATTCCTGTATCATCTGAACTGGTTCTGACGTGTTTCCTGCGGTGTCTCCCTCGCAGGACGTCATCGAGGCCGTCCTGGCCAAGCACTTCAAGGACTCCGTGGCTCGCTTCGAGGCCAAGGCGGAGGCGGCGCGCCGGCGCGCGGAGCGGCGCGGACGCGGAGGCGTCCGGGACGCCCGAGGGTCGGAGGCGGAAGAGAAGGCAGAGACGGCGGATGTCTCGGAGACGTCGGCACCAAACTGGGACACCTGCGTCGTTTGCCTTGAGCCTACCAGCGGGGGTGGAAAGAAAGAGTTGAAGCAACTGTTGCAAGCTCCAAGTGATGCCAACGTGGCAGACACCTGGGTGCAGCTGGTGAACTGTCGGCACTGTTTCCACACTGCCTGCATCGCTGATGCTGTCCGGGCCAGCCGCAAAGCCGACCGAACTCTGCGACACGCAGCATGCCCCGTCTGCAGGGCCTCGGTTGTCTTCGACTTCGAGGCCTGAGGGATCCTCCATGGGATAAGGGATCAGGTAGGGATAAGGTAGGGATAAGGTGAGGCTTACAGCGGCTTACAGCAGCCACCTGTCCCGCCACGCAGGCGAGGTCCACTTTGCGCCGACGGCGGAGGAAGCGGCGCATGTCCTTCGCGGGGTACCCGGCCACGATCAGAAATCCGGAACACCGGCAGCTTGATGGTCGTCAAGGCCGTGATGGTCGGGATGACCGCGATGACCGCGATGATCGTGATCACGAGCGGGTGAACAGACCACCCCTTCCGCGGAACCGGGCATATCAAGCCCGGCTTCGGAGTCCGCAGAGTAGCAGACCCAGGTGAAGCTAGCAAAAGGGGAATTGATCCCCTGTGAAGAATGTACAGTGTACAGAGTCGCGCGTGACCGCTTCACAAAGGCTGCCCGATCACGGGTACGGACAGGAGATGACTTGGTTCCCT